GGAGAAGCTGGACTAGCGAAATGTCCCAGTGGCAAAGATGTTCGCCATGCCAGCCAGGCAACCTGGGTTCTACCCTGGGAACCCGTGGAGAGATGGAAGGTGAGAACTGACTCCACAAACTTGTTCTCTGACCTCCATCCCTGTATCATTTGCACACACACACACACACACACACACACACACACACACACACGAAAGAAAAAGAATTAATAAAAGAAAGAAAGAAATCGAGCCAGGTGTGATGGTGCGCAGCACACACCTTTAATCCCAGCACTTGGGCAGCAGAGAGAGGCGGATCTCTGTGAGTTCAAGGCTAACCTGAGTTATATAGTGAGTTCCAGGCTGGCTTGGAACTACACAGAGAGACTCTGTCTCAACTAGATAAAGAAAGAAAGTGGTTAATTCAAGGGACGTGTAATCTCATTAACATCATAATGGTAAACAAATTTCATGTTAACCTGTGTTGTACAGTTTAATATTCTTCAGAATATTTAATTTTTATTAATTAAATTCTAATTAATTAAATATTCTTCAGAAGTTAGTAAGAAGGTGTCACTGTTTCTGATGTTTTTTTTGTTTTTGTTTTTTTTTTTTGGTTTTCTGAGACAGGGTTTCTCTGTGTAGTTTTGCGCCTTTCCTGGAACTCGCTTTGGAGACCAGGCTGGCCTCTAACTTACAGAGATCCACCTGCCTCTGCCTCCCGAGTGCTGGGATTAAAGGCGTGCGCCACTACCGTCCTGATGTTTTAATTAATTCATTTTGTGTTTTATGTGCATTGGTGCTGGGTCCCCTGGAACTGGAGTTACAGACAGTTGTGAACTGCCTTGTGGGTGCTGGGAACTGAACCTGGGTCCTCTGGAAGAGCAGTCAGCACTCTTAACCACCGAGCCAGCTCTCCAGCCCCTGTTTTTGATGTTTTTAACACGTTATAGACTAACTAAGGTCATAGTACTCTTTACTTGTTTCCTTATTTACCTGTCGATTTTTGAGACAGTTTCATGTCGCTCAGGCTGGCTTCCAACTCTCTGAGTAGCCCCAGACCCCAGATGACCTTGGGCTCTTGATCTTTCAGCTGCCACCTCTTGTGTGCTGGGATAACAAGCCTGAACCAGCATGCAAGGTTTATGCAGTGATGGGGGATCGAACCCAGGACGTTGTCGATGCTAGGCAAATGCCCTACCTACAGAGCTAGCCTACCGCCATTATTTTACTTTATTAAGACAGAGCCTTGCTGAGTAGCCCAGCTGGCCTCTAACCTTTCATCCTCTGGCTTCAGCCCCTGGAGGGCTGGCATCTGGGTTTGGGCCTCCACATGCATTTTAGCACTGTTAAATTGTTACAAGTTGCCATCCGGTTTGGGCTTCAGTGAGACATCACCCCGCTCCCTCACATTTACTTCCCTGTCTGGTCTTCTGTGATTCCCTGCAGGCTCCATTAAACTCGGGGGGAAATACAATAAAATCTGCCAAGTGTCCACATTTAGTTACAGCAGTCATTTTGATGTCCTGAAAGGCCAGGGGGCCCCTGAGGGGTCATCACACCTTTCCTGGGCTCCCTAAGGCCCTGATGCTGGGGCCGGCCTCACCTCAGGACCAGGTGCCCAGGTGTAGGTGGCACAGTGTGGCACTGTCAGCCTAGCTGAGCTTCCCCCAATAAGCATCACTGCAGTGTGCCCCTCCTGGGGCTGCAACGAGGCTCCCAGGCCATACCTGCCCGTAGCACCTGCTTCCGGAACAGAAAGCAAGCTGCTGTTGGATCCATTTTCTCTTCTTGCCAAACACTTTTTAATCCTTGCTAATCAGCTAAATTGAATCTATATTTAGCTCTGTCTTGGCTACCCTGGGTACCACTCGTTTATCCCAGGCCAGTAGGTCACAGGGAACAGCGCTCTGAAGTAAGTGGATGAGTTCTCAAGTCTTTGGAAGCAGGGACAAGCATTTCAGGCAGAGGGAACAGGAGGGACTGGGTGAGGGGTGGGGGAGTACAGGTGACACGTTATGGAATGATGGCTGGCTGTGGTCAATGAGTCCGTGCCTCCCTCTCTAAAACATTTCGGTACTCTCTTCCTGGTGAGAAGCGGGTGTGCATACCTCGTCCGATTCCTTTGGTGGAAGTCCTACCCCTAATCCAACTGCAGTGTCCCAAGCTACAGACATCTTTTGCTGTGTATCTGCCATCCATCCACCTGTCCCAGGGGACATACTGGGATGGCCCAGTGGAAGAGGTGTCCATGAAGGCGCGGGGTCGGGTCCGGCATATTCCACTGTCCCCCATCCCGGGGCCTCCACTCCGGGCCGGGTGAGTCAGCCCCGGGCGGCTCCCGCGTCATCCCGGCCGCTCTGCTCCACGCTATTTCGGGCTCCGGGCGCTATAAATAGAGGTTCTCACAGCCTAGGCGAGCCGCCCCCCTCTCTGCTCAGGCCCCCTGCGTCCCCAGCCCGCCGCGATCGCCGTCACCACGGCTAAGTTTAGAGGCGGGTGGGGACGCCGGCCCGGTCACCGCGCGCCCCCCACCCTCGCCTCCCCACCGCCGAGGGCGGAACCTTTGAGGGTCTCCAGCTGTCCAGTTACTTTTTGGTCCAAGCCCCCAATTCTCCATCCCTTCTGTAGTCCAGAGGAGACCCCCAAGTTGATACAGGAGGTGGGAGCTCAGGAGGAGAGCTGGACCGGGATGCTGAGTGAGGAAAGTGGGATCATTTGAACTCAAAGCCCCAGGAGTGGGAGGTTCTGGATCTGGGCATGCAGGGCTCAGGGCAGAAACTGAACACAGAAAGCAAACTTCGGCATGATGAAGAACTAAGAGCAACTTTTCCCGCCCTTGACTAATGCAAACGACTCCAAGTCACAGCCGTGGGCGGCCGGGACGCAGGTTGGCTGCTGTAGGGATGCGCATCGCCTTCTCGCTGGGTCCTGAGCATCCCGCGTGGTCCAGCCCAACCCGCCGGGGAATCCTCTAGCGGGGCGCCGGCGACCCCTGGCGGCAGAGCCGAGAGTTGCAGAGAGTTGCAGGCTCAAGGCTTGGGATTCCCTCCACCCTCCTCGTGGGAGAAACTGCGTTAGGGGTCCACTTGGCTTGACAACTCAGACACGCTCTCTGACTTTTCGTTTGGACTCAGAGACACGTGTCCTGGTACTTTATTTTTAAAATGGCATGGAATTCTATTTTGTCTTATGTGCATGAGTGTTTTGTGTGCCTGGTGGTGCCTGTGGAGGTCCCTTGGAGTGTGAGATGGTTGTGAGCCACCCTGTGGATGCTCTGGAAGAGAGAGGAGTCAGTGCTCTTAACCGCTAAGCTATTTCTCCAGTCCCTGGTCCTTTTATGTATCCCTGGCTGATCTGGAACTCACTCTGTAGACCAGACTGGCCTTGCACATTCACAGAGATCCGCCTGCCTCTGCCTCCCGAGTGCTGGGATTGAAGGCGTGCGCCACCACGTCAGGGTTTGTTGTTGTAGTTGTTGTTCAGGGTCTTGCTTTGTGGCACAGGCTGGACTGAAAGTCACTATGTAGCACAAGCTAGTTTGGAACTTGCGGCATTCCTCCTGCTTCAGTTTCCTCAGGACTGGCTTTAAAGGTATGCTGGTGGTTGCCACCACACACCGCTGTCTTACTGTATCCTTTCAGCCTCAGCAAATGATTCCAGGTAGAGAAACGAAAGCGTTGCAAAAGCTGGGTTTCTGCGTCTCCTTCACGCAACACACGGTTCAGGCGCGCCCTCTGGAGGCCAGGCTTGTGAAGGGTGCTCTGGTTCAGTGGCCGCTTAGCCCTTTTCTTTTCCTGTACTGGTAGGGTCAAGGGCTACTTACTACTAACTCCCCCCCCCCCCCCCCAAATTGAGACAAGGTCTCACTTTGTAGCTCTGGCTGTCCTGGAACTCACTCTATAGACCAGGCTGTCCTCGAACTCACAGAGATCAGCCTGCCTCTGCCTCCTGAGTGCTTGGGATTAAAGGTGTGAACCACCATGCTCAGCTATTAACTGTCAATATGTATCATATTTCCAAGGGTGTGGGGACGAGGCTCAGTGGTAGAGACTCTGCCTAGAATGCCCAATGTAGGCATGTGCTTGTATACACACACACACACACACACACACACAAACACACACACACACACACACACACACACACCATACCCCATAACAAGGAAAACGTTAAAATACATAGCGGATTACATATTATAACCTTAAGGTATGTTCTCCCTCAAAGAACCAAGACCAAAAGAATGTGGAGGACACCTTGGTAAATACATGCAAAACCGGAGAATTCCCAAAGTATGAACCAGGAGGAAACATTTGCAATCTATGGAAGTGACTAACAGACTCGACACCCAAGCATCCCTCCAATAAACTGGCAGTAATAAAAAGATGCTCATCTCCTTTGCCTCCCCCTTTTTAATTTTAAAAACTGTTGAATTGAATTGCTCATTTTGAAAAAAAAAATGGGCAAAGGATATGAGCCAATCTTTAAAAAAAAAAATGGGCAAAGGAAATGAGCAAGAACACAAAACATATAAGACCATTAAATTCACAAAACGATGCCCTATTTCCTTAGCAATCAGAGAACTCCAAGTTGGAACAGGGTGAAATTCTCCTTTCAGGAAATGAGTAATACTAAGTCATCCACCGGGCCCCAGGTCTCAGGGCTCGGGTGTCCCTTCCTTCAGGAAGCCCGTTCCGACACCCGGGCTGGGTCAGGTGCTCTCCCTAACCAGGTCTCAGTGTCCCCTGGACTCTCCCATGCCGGCCCTGCCCACTCTAGGCTGTCCCTGTTTGGGTGGGAACACGTCTGACGGTCCCTCTGGACTGGAAGCCCTTGGGGAGGCCACGGCTGTCGCTAGCAGCCGCTGTTCAGCATGCAGGTGGGGGAATGGCTTAGAATGAGTGAGTCAGAGTCCGTGGGCTGAGGTTCAAACCAAGCCAACCCACGGGGACATCTCGCCCCCCTCCTCTCTCTCTTTTCCCTTCCCCTCCCCCTCTCTCTCGTTTGATTTCTTCACTGAGCCCCGTCTGGGATCTGGGAACACAGGAAGCGCCCAACAGGGCCTTGTAACAGGACCTCTCGGCTTCAAAGACTCCCAGGTACCAAGATCCGCGCCTCTAACCCGCCCTAAGCCTCCCACGGTCCTCCAGGACCATAGAGAGCAGCCGCGAAGACAGCGCCTCTCCCCTCTACTCTCCTGGGGAGCAGCGAGACGAGCGGCCGGCCAGAGAGGCCGGAAGTGAGTCCAGCCAGGGGTCGCGCTGGCCGCGTTGGCGGTGTGTCGCCTCTACTCCCTTTGTGGTATTTTCTTGTAGGCCTCGGGAAAGACCAGGTGAGTTTGACAGCGCGTGGATCCAGAGGTAGGGCAGAGAGGGCAGGCGGAGAGGTGCAGGTCGCGGGTTGATGATTGGTAGGGGAAGAGGCCAATCGTTGCCGAGGCTGAGACGAGGCCGAGACTGGGCGGGGCGAGCACCTCCAGGTGTGCCTCTGGGGGCGGGGCCAACTGTCCCTGAGCGGGTGTGAGGCGGGGTAATAGGCCAGTGGGCGGGGCTGCAGGGCCCACGGACCAATCGGAAGTGGGAAGGCTGAAAGGGGCGGGCTCACGGGGCGGGCTCCTGGAACCTAACGCTTCGGGAACCGTGCAACCTTTTGGGGGGCACCTCTGGGAGATGGAAGCGCTAACGTCGATGTCGCCACGCCTCTCAGGCCCCAGATGGACCCTGGGAAGGACGAGGGAAGTCGGCCGCAGCCCTCAGGGCCGCCCACCAGGAAGAAGTTTGTTATCCCCCTGGAGGAAGACGAGATCCCTCCCGCAGGGGTAAGGGCAAGGACTTGGGGGCTGTCGGGAGTGAAGGGGACAGGAAGGGCGCTCTGGGATCACGGTGTGAGTTTAGCGAACTCTGAGGTTTGAGTTGCTTTGGAAAAATAGCCTGCGGTTTCCTACAATCCGGTTTCCCCGTCTGTAAAATGGGGTGGCAGGGTGGTAAAGAGAGGGCTAAACCACGAGCTGTAGGCTGGCCAGTGGTGGTTGTGTTTGTTTAGTTTTGGTCTTTGAGATTGGGTCACATGTTTCCTAGGCGATCCTTGAGATTGATATGTAGTTGAGGTTGGCCTTGAACCCTGTTCCTTCGATCTGTCCCTCCCAAGTGCTGGGATTACAGTAATGGGCCATCCTGGTTTTTTTGTTTGTTTGTTTGGATTTTGGTTTTTCGAGACAGGGTTTCTCGGTGTAGCTTTGGCGTCTTTCCTGGAACTTACTCTGTAGCCCAGGCTGGCCTTGAACTCACAGAGATCCGCCTGCTCTGCCTCCCAAGTGCTGGGATTAAAGGCGTGCGCCACCACTGCCTGGCCCATCCTGGTTTTTAAAAAACATTCATTATTTTATTTTATATGTGTAGCTGTTTTGCCTGCAATATGTCTGAGTACTACATGCGTGTACCTGCAGAGGCCAGAGAGGGGCATTGGATGCCCTGGAGCTGGACAGATAAGTATTTTGAGCTGCCATATTAGGGCTGGGAATGGAACCCAGATCCTCTTGAAGGGCCAGTGATCTGAACTGCCAAGCCACTTCTCCAGCCCCTAAAACATTTCTTTATGGTGTGTGTGTAAGTGAGGGTGTGTGCTATGGGGCTCCTGTGAAGGTGAAATAGATAACTTTTTGCTTGTTTGTTTGTTTGTTTTTCGAGACAGGGTTTCTCTGTGTAGCTTTGCGCCTTTCCTGGGACTCACTTGGTAGCCCAGGCTGGCCTCGCACTCACAGAGATCCGCCTGGCTCTGCCTCCTGAGTGCTGGGATTAAAGGCGTGCGCCACCACCGCCCGGCGAAATAGATAACTTATGGGAGTTGGTTTTCTCCTCATATTGTTTGGGTCCTGGGGGTTGAACAGAGGTCATGAAGTTTGGTGGCAAGCGCCTTTACCCATCCAGCCATCTTGCCAGCCTTCCTCCCTCCCTCCCTTCCTTCCTTCCTTCCTTCCTTCCTTCCTTCCTTCCTTCCTTCCTTCCTTCCTTCTTTCCTTCCTTTCTGAGAATTGCTATGGTGGGCCTGGCTGACCTAGAACTTGCAACAATACTCCTGCCTCCATCTCCCAAATGCTAGGGCATTACAGGTGTAATCAACACAGTAATCTCTGCTAGGTGTTGTGTATGACCAGTATTCTGGATTTTCTTTCTTTTCTTTTTTTTTTTTTTTTTTTTTTTGGATTTTCAAGATATGACTTTGGATCTCTGTGTGTCAGGGTATGCTTGCCATGGCACTCAGGTGGAGGTCAGGCTACAGCTTTTGGGAGTCAGGTCTTTCCTCCTACCACGTAGCTCTCAGGCATCAAGCTTAGGTGGTCAGGTGCTGCTGTCCGCTGAGCCATGTCCCGGGCCCCAGAGCTGATGTTTAAGAATTGAACTTTTGTACTTTAAGAAAGGGAAATCAGGGTCCTGGAGAGGTGGCTCAGCAGTTAAATGCACTGGCTGCTCTTGCAGAGGATGCAAGTTCAGTTCCCAGCACCTACATGGCAGCTCACAAGTAATTGTAACTCCAGTTCTAGGGGATCCAACACCCTCTCCTGGATGCTGAAGGCACCAGGAATGTACATGGTGCATGTATATCCATGAAGGCAAAACACTCAATACAAATAAAATAAAAATAAACCTACAAATTTAAAAAAGAAGCCAGGCGATGTTGGCACATGCCTTTAATCCCAGCACTCGGGAGGCAGAGCCAGGTGGATCTCTGTGAGTTCAAGGCCAGCCTGGTCTACAGAGTGAGTCCCAGGACAGCCAGGGCTACACAGAGAAACCCTGTCTCGGAAACAAAACAAACAGATTTCAAAGGAAATATGGAAGCTGGTGAGACGACCCACCCATTACGGGCGCTTGCTGCTATCTTTAAAAACAAAACAACAACAACAACAAACATCGGATTTTCTGCTCTTCCAGGAGACCTAAGCTTCGTTCACGCACCCATGTCAGGCAGCCCACAACTGCCTGTAAGTCCAGCTTCAGGGATCTGACATCCTCCCCTGGCGTCTCCGGGCACCCACACCTGCACATATACGGCATACATATAAAGATACATACACAAAGGGCGGCGGCGGTGGTGGCGCACGCCTTTAATCCAAGCACTCGGGAGACACAGGCAGGCGGATCTCTGTGAGTTCGAGGCCAGCCTGGACTACAGAGTGTGAGTTCCAGGAAAGACTCCAAAGCTACACAAGAGAAACCCTGTCTCAAAAAACAAAACAAACAAACAAACAAACAAACAAACAAAAGATACATACACAAATAAAAATAAGTCAATCTTAAGAAAAGAGAAATAAATCTGAGTCAGACATGGTAGTAAGTTCCTGTAATCACAGCATTGGGGAGACTGAGGCAGGAGTATTGGTGAAATTATTCAGGCCACTCCACGTAGATAAAAGGAGATTTATTTAATGGCGTAACTTACAAAGTAAGGGATAGGTAGGTCGCGGAGTCTGGGGAAGGTGTATCGCAGTCCAGCGGTGTTCTCTGGAGCTCTGCTTGGTACACCTCTCCAGTCCAGGGTCCCGCAACAGAGAGAGAGCCCACCGATCCAGATCTCAGGTCCCCAGGCGCCTCCTTTCGCCCCGCCTTGTAGGCGTGACAGTTGCCGAAGTCTCAATGGGGGTTGGAACTTCCAGATCAAAGCTGGAATGGCTACCCACTACATCTCCCCCTTTTTGTCTAAATAAGAAAGTTCTAACCTAATACAAGACTATATACAAAGGAATGGTTATCAAATATAGTCCAGGAATAATGAGGGATAATGACCTAGATAAGATGGAACTACAACCAATGCAAACAATATCAAGCAAGAAACACATACTATAATCCAGAGAAGTATAGAGCATAGGTAAATGGCATGTTACAAAGATCATTCCAAAAGGTGTCCTATCCTAAAGAACCTGAATCTAATACTTAATATGTTCTATCTACTAGGTTGTAACTATAACTGCTAGTCTTCAATCCCATCAAAGACCTGAGAAGGAATATAATGGTACCTGAGAAATGGTAGATGGATGCAAGCAACTTTCGGGAATCTTGCAAGAGTAAACGGAGACAGCTGGCAGCCTGGACAGTCACCTAATGTTTCTCAGCATTGTTGGTGCATTCAAATTGGCTACAGGCCTAAAGTATCTGACAGACCATTTTCAGAAGCAGGAATTCTGAAAGACCATCTTACTCTGTCTTGGCAGAGTACAGTGGTCGCTTTCCTTGTGTCCCGCTTGTCCAGAAAGGATAGCATTGCATTAGTACTGTCAGCCGTCGAGGCAAGGGCAGTTCTTTGCCCAGTAGGCCATTTTGTGCCAAGAAGACAAACTTCCAAATGGAAATGTCTTAGAAGCCCAACATTCTCTCGGGATCAAATTGGTGCAGCCAGGAGCAATTATGTCTCACATCAACAGAATTCTAAGTTATTTAAATGCCATATTCTCTAGGTCTATGAAGTGTTTGAAGATTACCTGTCCATCTGACCTATGTATCTGTAAATCTGGATAACCTAACTAACGTAACTATAGAGATGACAAGCATAGGTGACTATAAATCTATAAGTCTTATCTACCGAAATAACCTAAGGACTAAGGCTTCACGTAAACAAGGTAAACAGTCTATAAGCAAGTGTATGGTAAAGAACGATGACTTCAAAATTGTGACAATACACAAGATGTTATAACAGAGGTAGGAGTATATAGTGCGATATGCAATATGACAATAATCTTAAATATATATCAATATACCGAATATCCTAAACAGAAGTAGAACCTACATAAAGTATGACAGATATAAATTTACATTTGTATCAATATACAAGTATTTCAAATAAGAGTAGAAATATATGTACATTATAACAAATATAGTTCTGTATTTGTATCAATATACAAATTATCTTAAACAGGAATATAAAAATAGTTTACATTTGTATCAACATATAAGAATCCATAACAGTGCAAATTACAGTGCAAATTATTTAAGGCTGCTATTTTACTAAATTTGTTTACTAGTATACATAATAATCTACCATAATACCTTATACCTATCCATTCCATTTCTTCTTTTCATTTTTTTTTTTTTTTTAGAATACTGAGTTTAATATTTCCTTCCACCCCCAACCCTATAACCATCATCCATAACCCTGAGAATTATGAAACCTAAGGGAGAAGGGGCGTCGTTTTCTTAGAATTACTTCCTGCTGTTTAGGGGGTGATGTTATCTCTGTTGGGTACTGTGAGAAAGCTCAGATAGTTAAATCTCAGTTAGACTAACTGTAGGTTCTGCAGCAAGTCTTAGAGTAATGGGTAAGATTGTCTGAAATTCTGGTAAGAAGTGTAGTATGATGATGATTACCATGGCATCATTCTGGATTGGGTAGAGTTGTTGTTGGGGCCCCATCTTCCTTCTGGAGACTTCTGAGATTGCTATTAGAAAAACTTATTTGTTATCAAAATGGAAGGTTTGGATTTAAAGAGGACATAGCATGTAAGGAAGGATTCTGAGAAATCAAGAGTAAGCATGGAGAGAGTTAGAATCTAGAAGACAATGGTCCCTTTTTATTGGTTTCCTTCTGTCCCACACCAGAGGGCTCTTCAGATATGGGACTGAAGAATCTCTCAAACTTCCTTTTAGCAATATGCTTGGGTTTAGAGAAGGAGTGAGCCAATGCCATCTCCAAAGCCAGCTTGGCTTGTAATTGAATTGGAACCACAACTTTCCTAGATTGATAGAGAGATAGGTGTTAGACAGTGAGATTTTACCGTGTGTAGATTGGTACCAATAGATTCTTTCTTTCTGCTGTAAACATCCGGATATCCAA